TGAATATTTTCCGCACCCTGTGAACGCGAACATAGTCAAAAAATACTATGCATAAAAAACGACCCGCTAGGTTGACCGGCCTAGGCAAAAATAAGGGCATCCCGGAGAACCAGAAGGGTTAGGGCAAAAATTAGGGATATATATAAAAGACTGTACACCCGGCAAGTCGAATACACGAAAGGGTAGCTTGGGAAAAAAAGGGTATCCCGGTGGACTGAAAACCCGAAAGGGAGATCCAGACAAAAGTTAGGGATTAAAGCGTACGACTATGTCTCGTTGGATCACTTACAACAAGCTTTGTTACCAACATCAAGTTCAAAACGTACAGATTAATTCAGTCAATTTCTTCCGACAACGAGGGATGAGACGCTCGAATACATAAGGGCAATAGCAGAGTTGAAACCCTACGAGATTATTTCCACATAGCTATATGTTTTCACTTTGTAATCTTTTCTTCGTTTTCACAACGATTTCCTCTTACTAGGATTTCCGTCTCTTTGTAAAAAACCACCCGTTTATGGGCAAACTATCAATATAAATACAATTTCAAAATTCAAACTTTTGTTTTACCTTTTTCTATTTTGTTTGCAAAAACGTCCATTGACTAAGTTGAATGAACATATGCATATGCATACGATTACTATTAACAAATATATGCATAAAAACAGGAATAAGAATTCATTCAAGACTCTAGGAGTTGGGATAATGTTCAAGTCGTCCATAAATCACCACAGAACAACCTCTATGGGATTATCCCTCAGAGTCATCTTCACAAATTCATCTTCAATAAAGATACATTCCCTATAAGTTTGGATACACTGATCATACTCCCCGACAAATCCCCTAACAGATAAAGGAGTATGATCTTTCCCTTGAAATATCGCTAACTTATGGAGTCCCAATCCTCATCAGAGATCACATCATCGGCACAGTTCATAGGAATTATCTTCCCCAGTTGAGTTTATTTCTCCAACGCAGTAAAATCCCCTACAAAATTCTCTTCTCCAGTAGGGCTTATTTCTTCATCAGAGTATTCCTTAGTAGAGTATTCCCCCAGCAGGGTTTATTTCCCCAACAGGTTACAGTCTCCCAAGCTTGATTCTACCTCTTGGACTACTATGAATCACCAACAAAATTTCTCTCTCTAGCAAAGGGCAGTCCAAGCTACTATCCCCAGGAAGTTGCTGTGAAATCTAAAATAAGACCAGATATCAGTTAACCTTATCCTCCCCGGACGAGTCAGCGTCCATATCATAATTTCGGTCAGACGGAGCCTCATAAGGTTACCCATCTCTTTTATCCCCAGTCAGGGTATATAAGAGTTTAAATTCCCCAGTAAAGCGATGAACGACCAATGTTCCCGAACTCTTCTCCCCAAATAGAAATCAACATTCCCCATCGGAGTTTCCTCAAACAGAAAGCAGGAATCCCCATCAAGATTGAAGATACACATATTCTTTGTCCCCAACAACAGTCAATGATTTATTTTCCACAGTCAAAGATGCTACACGAAGCAAAGGATAAGCTTCAACAACATTTCATATTCATACATCACTTACAAACATCATAGCATATGCATACGAAACACATATAGCACAATCTCATTTACTTTGAGAACATCATTATGCAATGCATTTCATACATCATGACATTACATACAACTAACTCTTTGCCTTTTCTGGTAAAATCTATAAATAGGCGGATATCGTCAACTATCTACATGACTAGACAAATTTCTTCAGAGACTGAATTCTGACAGACAATCTTCTCAGAGACTACATCTAACAAATAGCTACTTAAGAAATTTTCCTCAGAGGATCATTCTAAAAAAGCACCTTTTCTAATTGAAGTCGGACGTAGACATCTTCTAGTGTATCATTTAGATGAAATCAAGCGTAGATTCCTTCTGAACCTCTTTTGGAGAGAAGTCAGGTATAGGCTCCTTCCAATACCTCTTCTAGTTGAAGTCAGGTGTAGACATCTTCTAGTGCATCATTCAGATGAAATTAAGCGTAGATTCCTTCTGAAACTCTTTTGGAAAGAAGTCAGTCATAGACTCCTTCCAATACCTCTTCTAGTTGAAGTCGGGTGTAGACATTTTCTAGTACATCATTAAAAAGAAATCAAGCGTAGATTTCTTCCTGATACTCTTTTTGGAAAAAGTAAGACGTAGACTCTTTTCAGTACCTTTTCTAGTTAAAGTCGAGCGTAGACATCTTCTAGTTCAGATGAAATAAGGAGTAGATTTCCTTCTGATACTCTTTTTGGAATAAGTCAGACATAGACTCTTTCAATTACCTCTTCTAGTTGAAGTCGAGCGTAGACATCTTCTAGTTCAGATGAAATCAGGCGTAGATTTCCTTCTAATACTCTTTTTTGGAAAAAGTCAGGCATAAAATCTTTCTGGCACCTTTTCTAGTTGAATTCGAGCGTAGACATATTCTAGTTCAGATGAAATCAGGCGTAAATTTCCTTCTGATACTCTTTTTGGAAAAAGTCAGGCGTAGACTCTTTCCGGTACCTCTTCTAGTTGAAGTCGGGCGTAGACATCTTCTAGTTCAGATGAAATCAGGTGTAGATTTCCTTTTTATACTATTTTGGGAAAGTCAGGCGTAGACTCCTTCCAATACCTCTTATAGTTAAAGTCGGGTGTAGACATCTTCTAGTTCAGATGAAATTAAGTGTAGATTCCTTCTGAAAATCTTTTGGAAAAAGTCGAGCGTAGACTCATTCCAAACGTATCTTCTAAGACAAAGTCAGGCATATGCTTTGTCTGATATTCCTATCATCAATTAATCTGGATGACATCTATAAGCCCATCTCTGAAGAATCTCCGTCACCTCTCTAAATGGCATCTCTAAGCCCATTCAAGTAATATAATCAACCAACATCGTTACTTCTTGCACAGGCGAGTGCAAATTTCTGGGCACTTAAGTGTTCAATCATCTTCTACCTTCAAGTCACGAATGGCGGACATGTCAATCTAACTCTTCAGATTTAAGAAGATTGAATAGGGGCAACTGTTGCACCCTAAAATTTTCCCTCTTCATTTTGCTTTGAGTGGCTTATGTCTCATCATATACATTTCATACATTGTGATGGGGTCAAGGTTATTTTGTTTCTCAAACTCTCCTGAAGGAATTTGATTGTGTCATCAATCAGTCCAAGATGAATCTCATATTCTCATTCTTCTGTCTACTCAAGATACCAAGACTTTTTCATACCTCATGGCGTCTCAATGGATTCTTTATTTCATGAGAAGATTCAGGATTGCGAGGGTTTGGAAATGGATCACAGCTTTCCTATCTTTTGGCTTTTATGCTAAGACTTTGATGATTGAATCATGATTATCGGAAGGTTATTATTTCAAAGATATAATCTTCTCCACCAAGATATGTCAAAGCTTATCTTCATCATTATAAGGGATTTATTATGATTAAAGCTTGTTTATTCTCAATTGTTCATCGCTTACAAATACAAGTTTGTTTGGAATTTGAGAATTGAAGGCTCATTTGATAAGTTTAAACATGCTATGTGCGTGGAGAAAATTGAAAATTGAAAATTAAAAATTGTTTTAAGCATCATTTTCAAGGCAATTTAAGTTGGTTTAAATTTGAGAATTAGTGAAAGATGAAATCAAGTGTGATGAATCAAGAGAAATGGTTTTCATGCCTATCATAAATCGCATTGTCTTGTAACTTCTCTTTGAAATGAAGGGACAAATTTAATTCATTGCAAGTTTCAAGTTTCATATCCAAGTATTTCAAGTATTCAAACTCATTGCTTCATATTAATTTCTTTCAATATTCATTCAAGATCATCCAAATTTACCAAAGATCTAAGTTTGATTACAAATTCTACAAAGTATCCTTACTTTCTAAAGAATGCAAGAATATTCCAAATGATATTTATCTTCATACATCACCACTTATTTTTGGTTTCAAGCTTCTTAGTTCCTATGTCTCAAATTACATCATCAAGACTATAAAATCATCTATGATTCCTAAAGAGACTTTCATTCATTCTTTAAAATCTCCAAAGTTCTTAACAAAGTAACAAGGAAAACCAAAAGGTTTTTAAGCTCTAAAAAATATATAAAATTCTAATGATCTCCATTATTCATTTCTTCAAAGTTTCCTCTCAAAGCTTCCTCCTTAAATCTTCATTCCAAGCCACAAACTCCTTTCTTCTTGCCTTGTCATAGCTTCTTCATCTTTCTCTCATTTACTCACATGAAAAAGAAAAAGAAATGTTAGCAAACAACCAAAATAATTAAACTTGAGTACAAGAAAATGAAGCTTTCAAAGAGTTACTTTTCAATATCATCATTAGGGTGTCGTGATAGGAATCCGAATAATTGGGGAGTTTTAATTCAATCATGTTCATAAATCCAACAAAAGGCCTCATACTTTTCTTAGTAAATCAGAATTTCAAATTCAATCATGGGCCAAAAAATCTCTACTGCAAATCACAAGAAAAGGCCAGAACTTGGCTCACAGTAGAGGTTCAAAAAGCATTTTCCTACAGTAAGAAATATCTCTGCGAAATCGAAAAAACAACATTACAAGCCCATCAAAGTTTTCACAAACTCAGAAACAACAAACATAAATCACATCTAAGGCCCAACAGGAACTGCAGTAACATATAAGAAAAAACATAGAGTTGCCACAGCAACACATACGTCACAAAAAAACCCGCAAATGAGAAATAATGACAAGCATAATTCGTAGAAGCCCATAAAAAGCAAGCCTGTCCAAAATCAGTGACAACAGGAACCCTAATCTCATGGTATAAAAATTCAATGATTGTACAATTTTCAGGAGAGGGCCATTGTACACAATACAAAAGTTGCGCAAACACCAAACCCTAGTTTATCATCTTCTTCCCTAACTCACAAAAAACCCTTCAGAAATCGAAAGCAAAGAGCAGAAGAGGAAAATATTTTGAATTACAGAACACAAAGAACTAGATCAAAAATACCTCACCAGAAAGCTTGTGTATCAGGGATCTCTGACCGACGAACCTAGCACAACAACCGTACAACACCGACACACCATATCCCATTTCAGATCTCTCCATTGGAAGCAGTTATCCATGCACCCCATCAGCTTGACCGCGACGCCCTCTATTCGCGCACAGAACCACAACGCTACCACCACAGGATCTGCCACCATTCCGAATCTAAGACGCACAGCCGTCATCACAGGTAAGCCTCGCATGATTTTGTTCTTCACTTTTTATTATTATTTTGTTTGAAGTATGGATTGTGTTTAAGAGATAAAGAAGAGAGTTAGAGGATGAGATAAAAGAAGAGAGGAAATTATGTTACTGTGAAAATAAATACACGTGTGTTAGCATTCCACCACTTCCTGGTCATTTTGTTTTATTTTACTCTATTTTCTTTTATGTTGTTTTTAATTAATTACTGCCAAGTATCAGCTAACCATTGGGCAATCAATTTGAAGAGTAAAGCAGGGCAACTCCCCATCCTCCAGATGAAATACATAGCGCATTGGCTTACCTTCCCCAACACAAACGTAGCTTGGCCCAGTGGAGGATAACACGCCTGTGAGACAAAAGGGGTGGGTTCAAGTTCCACCCCATGCATTTTCTTTTTACTAACCATTTTCCTATTTATTTCCATTAATTCATTGGTTTTTTTTATTAAAACCAATAACTAGTAATTAGGGCTATAACTAGTAATTAGGTTTTCTTTGACATATTTTTATTGATAACTAATTAATTAATTAGAATTAAGGCTTAAATTAATCAGTTTCTTTTCTTTTTTTAATTAATTAAAATCAATTAGATTCTAGGTTTTAATCAATTTCTTTTTCTAAAATAAAATTAATTAGGTTAGGTTAATCATTAATTTTTCATCAAAAAACGATCACAAAAAAATACACTTCTCCGTTTCTCTTTACTTTTACAATCTTCGCATATCTTTATCATCTTCGCGTTAGTTTTTTCCAATTTATGTAATTGCTACAAAATGTAATAACTTAAATTAGGTCTTATTTACTTTCTTTCTCCCACATTTTTTATGATTTGTACCCCCTTCCCCAAAGCATTGTAATAGCGTAAGACCTTTATTTTCTGCTTTTTTACTATTGTTACCTATAACTGTCTAGTTTAATAGGATTGTATGACAAGACATAAAAATAATCGTAGATAACCCTAATCAAGATAAAATAAATCACTCTTCACACACACATCTAAGGTAACCCCACTTGTTGCCTTCAGATAAACACAGTCATGTCCCTCAAACATGGGGATGCTTTAGCAAAGATCCTTAGTTAAAAAGATCGTAGTCCCTCGATGACCCTTCGATGTTGCCTCGGTAAACGATCTTAGTCCCTTACGATAAAATTGTTAAATCGCCCCTACGAGTTGCCTTTATGACTGTATGATGACATGCGTTTGTCCCTCACACATCCAACGATAGGGCTTCCTACTAACAAATGGTAGGATAACACTATCTAAAGGAGTAGGAAAATAACACGAATGACATTCAAGTAAAGGTAGAATTGTTAATCTCTTGCTCACACAAAAACGAACATCTTTTTCACAAAACACTTGTCTGAAATATTTATAAAAGAACCAATATTGTGTACGCATTCTTAACTAATACAATAATCATCACAAAGTTCCGCACTTAGGCATTTTCAAAATATTTTCAAACAAACATACAAAGCATTTTTTTTCAAAAGTGAGCTAGCAATTAAGAGCCCGTAGATAACTACGGATGTAAAGGGTGATAACACCTTCCCTTTTCATAACCTACCCCCGAACTCAGAAAAATTTCTCGAAGGTCTTTCCTGTTCTTTTCACCCTTTCCTTTATTGGATAAAATAAAAGTCGGTGGCGACTCTCTCTATCCGCAACATTTGCGATAAAACGCAAAACCAAAAGTCAGTTCTCCCACTGTATTACATTACCATATCAGGACGATTCTTGAAGCATGAGATCAAATTTTTTTTTAGCTACAACTTTGTTTCAGGTCCATAGTTCGGATTGTGCTTCAAAGGCTTCGATTTGTGGCTTACTTCCTAAAGTGCGCATGAAAATAAGATGAAACTTTTAGTACGGCAAAATAAGTCCATTGTGCTTCAAAGGTTTTATCGTATCAAGGCGATTCTTTCGGCATGACGTCACAAATTTCATCTACTACAGTTTTGCTCAGGGTTCACACCGAGATTCTGCACCGAAAGTCATGAGCTTGTCATTTGTTCGTGCATCGTACACGAAATAAGCTGAAAAATATGCACTATGATATTTTTATACCAATTTCTCACTGTCAGAGCATTGTAACTTGTTTAATTTTTATCGTAATGACACATTTCTTTTAGCGCCACGTCACAAATTTTGTCATCAACGATTTTGTTTCAGGCTGCGCGTCAGGATTTCGCACCGGTTATCATGAGCTCGGGGGTTCGATATCGACTGTGCATGAAATAAGCTGAAAAATTAAGTTCGGAGCCAATACTATATTATTTTCAAATTTAAAAATCAAATACAACAACAAACCTTATCACAGATCTCTCACATTTTTCTCCCATTTCTCTCTCAAATGAAACTCACTTTCTCTCAAATTTCCTCATAAACTTCTCAAGAACAAATCAACCAAAACTTCAAAAACTTCAACTCTTCCCTCTCTCTCATTTCCACAAGCTCTCTCCCTCTACGCCTTGCACTGCCGCTCTGACCACCCCTTCCCGCTGAAACCTCCTCTGGTCCGCTCGTGATCTCCGATGATCCACTCCCTCTGTCACGTATTCCGCTTTGGCGATCCACCTTTTCTGCCGCACATCTTATGTGGACAAACTTCTTGCTCCGCTTAACTCCTCTGCGCGCGATTCTGACGACATCTCCTCCGCCTCCTTCGTGTTTTCGGATGGCAACTTCATCATCTTCTCTGATCTAAATTTTCGGTAATCCTTGAATCCTTAATTGATTTAAGTTCTTATTAGAGATAATTGATTTTGTGAATTGTGTCAATTTGAACTTAATTGATTAAATTGAGTTAAATTGTTGAATATTTCTTGAGATTTTTAATTCTTGAATTTTGATGATGATGAATAAATGTGGAGTAGGATTGATCCTTGGTGAATTCATGATAATTGTATGGATTTAATATATTTTTCACATTGAAATAATGTGTTGGTCATGTTCAATTGAATTTGCGTGTCGATTTTGTTTCCGATCAAATTTTTGTTGAGGATTATTGAATTTCATGTGTTAATACATTAATTTGAATCGATTTGGTGATGATTTAAATTTGTTCGAGATTAAAACTTTCAATTCAAGTAAATGTGTCAACATTTGAAGTATGTTGTTCATGATCGGAAACCATGGCTTGGATATGGATTTATTTGTTTGCAAGCATTTGATCGAAATTGTTGCGGATAGCAAGAGTCATCACCGACTTTTCTTTTATCCAATAAGGAAAGGGTGAAAAAAACAGGAAAGACTTTTGAGATGTTTTCTTGAGTTCGGGGGGTAGGTTATGAAAAGGGAAGGTGTTATCACCCTTTTCATCCATAGTTATCTATGGGATCTTAATTTCTTGCTAGATCATTTTTGAAATTGCTTGGTTGGAAATGTGTTTGTGGTGGATTTTGAAAGTATTTATGAAAAGCGCCTTCGTTTAAGAAAACTTTGTAATGATTCTCGTGTCTATAAGAATGCATACAAAGTGTTGGACTTTTGAAAATATTTCATGTTTTGAAAGTGTTTGGTGTGTTCAAAAATATGTTTTTATTTTTGAAGATGGATTGTGAGCAAGCAACTAAGAACGTTCTATCTACTCAAAAGTCTTTTTGTTCATTCCTTCCTTTGATATTGCTATCTTACCATTGATTGGTAAGAAGCCTTATCTTTGGATGTGAAGGGACGGGCGTGGGTCATCGTATAATCATGAATAGCAATGTTGTGAGATATCTTAGCATTTCTGTTGAGGGACTAATATCATTTGTAAGGCAACATTCGAAGTGTCATCGAGGGACTATGATCTTGTATTTTTTGATTGTTTTTGCTAAGACGTATCACATGCATATTATGACATTTTCTCAAGGCAACAAGTGGAGTTAACCCTAGAGGTGCATGTGTGTGAATAGTGTGTTTCATTGAATGCATTTTGTCTTTGAAATTAGGGTTTTCTAAGATTGATTTTATCTTTCCATACAAACCCTAAGTTACTAGCATTTTATATGAAAAACGATAAATTGCGAAAAGTAAATTTACTACACTATTACATCATTTGGGGATGGGGTGTACAAATTTACAAATGGGGATTTGCAAGAAATTAAATCCTAATTATCTATTACAACCATATTGAATTTTAATAAACGTACAATAATTGAAATGTATATAATGTACAAGGCATGAATGAAAAGAAAATGAATTTTGTTTTGATTTTGTTAAGGAAATTTAATTAAGTTAAAGGAAAGAAAATAAATAGGAAAATGTTTTTTTTATCTTTTTCATTGTAAGAAGTTAAATAAAATAAACTAAATAATTTAAATATATTTTTGGTGTTTTTGTGTAGAAAACAATTTTTGTGTTTTAAAACAGTTATTGTGTAGTAAACAGTTTTTGTGTTTTAAAACAGTTTTTGTGTTTAAAATAGTTTTTTCTGTAGAAAACAGTTTTGTGTTTGGGCTCAGGGCCTTTTTGTTAGTTAGGAAAAAATAACAGAATAGATACAAAAGGTCTCGCTGGGGCTTGAACCCAGAACCTTCTACATGACAAGGCTTTAGCGCGCGCTGTTTGTACCACTGGGGTGGCCTGTTTCATTCGTTGGTTATACAACTTGCGCTAAATATAAAATAAACTCAGTTCTGAATTTTTAAACATATCTTCATATTCTTCCTTCGAGCACAAGGATGTATAACTCATTTGTTCAACTTCGAAAGGCTTCATTTCTCAGCCAAATCGAAAATGTAAAACATCAAACCTGCATAAAATCTTAATACAAATCTAACAATATAAATTTTAAAATCCATGAATCGAAGGTTAGCATGAAATACCAAAACTAAGACCTAACTGTTCAGAGACGAAATTTTTAAGGTATAAGCAATGATAATCAAAACTAAGATCATGGTCAGCTTCCTAAACACGATGTCTACATTTTTTTCTTTACAATGTATATACAAATGATGCTTGAATGAAGAGTTCTAAGTTTTGCAAGAAACATACCTCTTGAAGTGCAATTCGATCG